ATGGTCTTCTCCATCTGCAAAATCAAAGTGGAACTGCTCCATGGAGGAACTGGGTTTTCCAAAAGACCATCTTGATTTGCTGCTGGGATGGGCGATGGCTCTCAAAATTCTGAGGAGTCCTTGGTGCTCTCTGAGCTTGGTTGTTTTCTTGCAGACTTCTCATTACCCAAACTAGGTACCATCATCAGCACTGATGATGTTACCTAGTTGGGTAATGAAAAGTCTGCAAGAAAACAACCAAGCACAGAGAGTACTAAGGACCCCTCTTTTCAATTCTGAGCTACAAATATTTTGCTTTATTGGTTTCCAAATTCTAGGTTCTAATGAGAGTTAAGCTAGTTCTTTTAACTATAAATTCCATTTTTGCCATTTAAATGATTTCTAGACCTTCTGTATTAATGCAGGAATAGTTTTCCAAGGCAACAATAATACAGATCTGGGGAAATCACCATAAAATCAATTGTTTTGTGGGGCAAGCTCCCACTAGTGAAAACCTCCTAGTAGAACTTAATTGTACTAAGCCTTAATATTAGGGTTATACTGTTCATTATTGTGATATATTGACTGATTCACCTTAGTGGTGGATAAGTATAAGACTGCAAAGAATCAACCCTAGTTTGTGAGAAATAGCATATTTTCAAAACTGGTGATGTTATTTTTACTGCAGTGTCATAAATGGTGATGTTATTAATATATGCGCTTTGGAACCATGTGGCATTTCTTTGCTACTGTTGACAAATTCTATTTTTGTTTGGCAAAAATGGCATGTTTTACTATGCCTGTGTACAGTCACATATGGATGAATTGCGGTTGCCTTAGAACTGCTGAGGAGATTCATAACAGAAAACAGATATTTGAATGAGTAACTGCTCATACACATAGACACAGATTTTATTCATGGAATGTATCAATATATCTAGAGTTTTTGTATCTCTTTTTCTCCAAGTTTCTAAAATTAGGCTGTAAGTTATCCTTAGCCTTTTCCTAATCTTTTTTGCATTTGGCTGGGTCCTTATGGTTTATTTTATTTTATTTTTTGTAGGCTACACTAGACAGGGAACTGGACTAGATGATCTGCAAATTTGATCCTGATTAACTAGCTGGCTGAAATGGGATCAAAATGCAATGGGAATGAAATGTTATTCTATTAACTTCAATAGGAGCTAACTTTAATTATGTTTGCATCAAGTCAGTCTAATTTTGTTTTCTGAAATTCTTCTTTCCTTTAGGAATGTTTCTAAACATTCGCTAGCCCTTTTCTATATCAGCACAGGTCTGTGAGCTTTTTTTGTGTGTGTGTGTTGACCAATGGGCAGATGCCACTGTGATTTTTCCAAAACTGGCCTATCCATGGAATTCTGTGTCCTCCCTTTCTATCCTTGCTATATGGAAGACTTTTAAAAAGACTTAAGAAGATAGCAAGGACAGTTTCTACTTGTACAACTGATTTCTCATCCACTGAAATAAAAAGTTTTCCCTCTGTTATGTGCTCCTGGCTACTTTCCTTCATGACCAGAGGCAAGCTCGCCTGATCAATAACCAGCCAAGACACAGTGAAGGCCTTTTGTTTTGTTTATTGCAATAAGTGGGAGAGAAGTTATCACAAAGCTTGGTTCTCTCCAAAGTTTCAACCCAAAATATTTCCTTCTTTATACAGCCCTGTCCCAGCTGCCACATCCCTCCTCTTTCCCCATTGGCGGAGGTACTATGAGGTTACATTCTTTCCGACCATCTACTACATATTTCCTGCTACATACTTGTAAAGATGCTAAGAAAAAGACTCAGGCATTTCTTGAGCAGAGGTGTGAAGCTGCAGGACACAGCTTGACAAACTCTGAGTTTATTGCTTCTTATATACTTTTTACATACATAGGCTTTTACATTAAATGCTGACATTTTACATTCATAAGTTTAACCTTTAGATGCTGACATAAAATTTCTTTATTGGAAAATTCCTTCATATAAGCAACTATTTTCTAGTAACATATTACCTGTTCAGAGACCAGGTAAAGACAAATACAGATAGATCAGAAGGAGAAAGAACTAACAGAGGCAGGAAGAGATAAGAGGGAACTTAAGCATATTATTTATTTAGGTAGGTAAGATATTAAGTCAAAAGGGGATGATCTTTTGGCTGCTTCCTTGGGACAAAGGGTATCAAAAGGTTATGAGGTTTGTGGGAGGGAAAGCATGGCAGTTTGCTGCGCGTGCAGTTTTCCCCACACATACTAAATCACACATCACATGTACAATAATAATAAGAAAAAATAGATATTTAAAAAGCTATTTTGAGCTCTGTGGATATTTATGTCACCCTTTTAGAACAATAGATTCTTTTCTGTTTTTCAATTCAGTATGCCTTTCCTCTTATCTTATTCAGCTTGTTTTCCTGTTTTCAATTCCTTTTCCCACTCTAAGATCCAGCTAATTTTTGCCTACATGTTTCTCTTACATCCTTTCTTTATGCTATTCTTTCCTGTTTCCCATCTATCATAATTGCTTCTCCACTCAGTAAATTTCCACTGCAGCAAATTCAATTTTAAATTTCTCTTTCAATATTAAATTTCTGAAGACCTTTCCTTTACTTCTATCATCTCTCAGCTTTCTGAACCTGCTATGTGTCTGCTATAAACACAACATAAACCATTTGTAATCAGAGTAGCCTGGCTGGATGCTGGGAAATGAAAGTTCATGGCCCTTCTCAGCCTTTTTAACGTTTTAAAAAAATGAGTGGGTAGGAGAAATTTGATTGGCTGAATGAAGACTCTTCTTCCATATGTAGGAAGTCATTTCCTAAAGAAGGAAATATTTTGGGGGATATTAAAAATGCAGAATATTATATTTCCCCAAAGAAATAATAGAAAATCTTAGGCAGAAACACCCCACCCCCCAAGTCTCTCTATCCAAAGCAGAAACTGGCTTTTAGAAATTCAGATTTGGCAATTCATTGAGGAAGACTAGATCCAGGAACCTTGGAGCTGATGGAATTAGAAAGTCAAAGACCCTTAAAATCTGCATTCCCCACCCAAAATCTAAAGATATGACCTTTAGGGCCCATCACTCTTAGAATACAAAAAGGGCACACTGAAGCTCAGGTCAAAGTTCATTACACAGGAACAGAAACAACCTCAAACAGGAACAAATCCAAACACAATCCCCCCCCAAAGTATAAAAACCCACCTACTCCCAGCTCCATTTTGTCAGCCACCCTAGAAACATGCTGCTGTCACTGAATTTTTTGGCAACTAAATAAACTGAACCTTCTTTCCTAAGCAATTTCCATTTTGTTTATTCCTGGCTTGGACTCAACCCTGATGAAGATTTTTCTTTCAACACATATCAGCATATGGCAATCTGGATCACACCTATAGAAGGACTGCCTCTGGGAAGGAATGGAAGCTACCTGAGTTTTTCAAGGATTCTTCAAATGAATCATTTACTTGGGATAGGGGGTTGAGAATGTCCCCCACCAAAACAAATGCAGAATAGAGTAATATAGGAGCCTTAAGCAATAGGTGGAGAATAGTGTCATGAGGAAGGCATGCACATTTGTGTTTATTAAAGCACTCCATTACCACTTTAATGCACTGGGACAGAAAAGATGTTAGTTGTTTTACCTGTACTGGACTCTCATGTTCATTTTATTTTTTTAATGTTTTTCATGATTGTTTCCCCATAACCTTATTTAAAACTGAAATTATTAATTTATTAGGTCTCAACATTGTGTTTACATAACAAGCTTCGTTCTGAATATCTGACAAAATGCTAAAGCATCACAGTCATACTTAAATGAATGTTTAAACAATGACTTAGACTGCAAAAGTGTGAATGTTTGCAAAATAATGAAATTCACAGATTTAGATACTATCTCTTTCTGAGTAAAATGAAAGTTTTCAAAGTGTTTTATTTACTTTGCTATATTAAAATATAAAACTTACAATTTAGAAATAATTCAGACCCTTAGAAAAAGGGGGAAAAGACAGTCTTGAGGATAAGAGAAAATACCATGTTTGAGGATATCCAAATGAGGCTAAGATTAGATCATGGGGCATAAGTTCTGGAGAGATTCCCCAATTAAGTGTTCCTGCAGCTGTTCTGTTGATGCCCTTGCTATTCATTGCATATGTTAAAAAAACCAAACCAATCTTTTAAAAAAATCTTGTCAGTAAGCTGGTCCAATCAGATGTTGCCTCTGGTTCCTTTTATCACACTAGTGCTCTCACTGGCTTTATGTTCAGAGGCAGCATCTGATTGGGCCAGCTTGCTATTAGCATAATAAAAGAGGGTTTTTTTGTTAACTGCATGATGCACAGTTGCACCTTAACAGGCAAGCTAGTATAGTTCTTGCCATAGCAGACATGTTCTCCTGATCACTACTATATTATTTCCATGCCTTCTATGGCAAGAACCAGGGCTTTTTTTTTTTTTTTTTTTTTTGGTCATAGAATACCCAGAACAGAGTTCTGGCACCTTTTTTGGATGGAACCTTGTAGGATTGGCAAGGCAAGTTGTATGACATGTGTGAGTTCCAGCACCTTTTTTTTCTTCAAAAAAAGCACTGGCAAGAACTGTACTAGCTTACCTGTTAAGGTGCAGCTGTGCATCATGCAATTAACAAAAAACCCTCTTTTGTTATGCTAATAGCAAGCTGGCCCAATCAGATGCTGCCTCTGAACATAAAGCCATTGAGAGGTCTAGTGTGGTAAAAGGGACTGAGACTCAATGCCCTCCGTTTCCATGATCACTTGAGGCAATATCTGAAGCATTGTGTGAGGAGAAGACTATAGTGAGGATTATCACTTTAATGAATACTACTGTCACTTATTTTGGGCCTGGCAACATATATTGATATGAGCAATTGAGTAAATTTTTGGCAGGACCAAGAATCTGAATAGGTGATTATTCAGAGTTTTGTCTCTTAAAAGTAATATACTGCATTTGATTTACTGTTGATATCTCATATATGGTCTCATTCTGAAATTACTATTGTTTGTTCACAGAACATAACAGATTAAAGAATGACAACTCCATTCTACAACAACAAAACCTTCAGTAATACAATGTCTTTACCAGCTTTACAATGATTAGGAATGACTGTGTAACTGTCTACTACTGGCTAAACAGCATTCATTGGAATATTTGGTCTTAAAGGGACAACATTTGAATGTGGAACCTTGGTCAAATCTAAACAGTGTGATGTTGAAATGAGATGAGGCTCCGAAATGGAACTGTGGCCACTGCATTGATTTTCATCACATCTTTTCTCAGTTTATCATGGTATACAGCATGGCAGAATGGAAAAGGTAAGTCATATCTTTTATGAAAAGAGAGGGGGGAAAGGAAAACCAGTATAAATACATTTGAGAAGTTCCTCTTAGAGGTTTAGACTACAAGAAGCAATATAATGACATTTTTTTTCAGAGAACAGGGCTACTTAAAGTTCAAGATTAGCAGAAAACACAGTAAAGATACAGTGCTTGTTTGCATCTAAAAAAATAAAATCTAAAATTTAAATTTAGAAGGAAATAGTCTTGCAGATCCATAGCTTAGAGCTGTGTTGGTGAACCTATGGTACACGTGCCACACGTGCCACGCGGACCGTCCCAGAGGGAGGCGGGGCCAGGCTGTTCGCTTCAGCATCTCCACGTGCACCTGCTCTCTCGCTCTCTTTCTCTCTGCGCTGGGAGTAAGGGAGCAGCTGCAAGAGCTGGGCAAATCCGGGCTGGATGGTGGAGGCAGCTGCCTGCAAGAGTCCAGGTAAGCCTCATGAGCGATTTTGCGGGCCCCCCCCCCATGGCCGATCCGGACAGCAGAGGCCTTTTCCAAGCCTCTGGAGCTCGCATCCATGGCCGGGGATGATTTTGTGGCGTGCCAGCGGCCTAATCTGAGCTCTGGCGGGTGGGATGGTGGGCAGGAGGCTTGTTCTGCAGGGTGATCCGTGCGATGGGTTGGGGGAAAGAGGCGGCAGGGCGATCCGCGCGGCAGGTGGGGGGAAACGACAGTGACAGCGGCGATCTATGCAACAGATGGGGGAAAAGGTGGCAACGGCAGGGCAATATGCATGGCGAGTGGGGGGGAACCTGCCCCACTTATTTCACGGCCGCTTTCAGCCAAGCCGCATTGCAGCAGCATTGGGCGCAATACGCGAGGCGGCAAACAGCCACGTCACACTGAAACCGGCTGTTTGCCTCCTCCTGCCCAGTGCCGTTGCCATGAGGCCGCAGAACCAGCCAGGTGGCAGTAAGAAACTGGTATACCAGTTCCTTACCTCCGCCTGGCTTGTTCCGCGGCCTCATGGCAGTCGCATTGGACTCAACGCGTGAGTCGGTAAACAGCCACATCGCGCCAAAACCGAGGGGTCAGCAGGCTGTGGCTGCTGATGGACACAGTTGGCCCCCATGTGCTTGCTGTGTGCAGGGGGCCAATGGTGTCAGGCAGCAGTCGCCCCGGCTCCTGTCTCGCCTTGCCTTGCCCTGCGCCAATGGCACCCCTGCCCTGCCTCCCGCCTTGCCTCACCTCACCCTGCAGAACAAGCCTCCTGCCCACCATCCCACCCGCCAGAGACCCCCTGGATCTCCCCCAACCCTGCCTAGCCCCCACAGGCGTCCCTCTCCATGATCAACATCGAGGTGGCCATGCCCATCCAGTCTGCTGTGACCACTGCAGCCACGCCCACCCAATGTGCCATGCCCATCCGGCACCCAACGATACATAAGTGAGTTTTGGGTTGCAATTTGGGCACTATTGGTCCCTAAAAGGTTCGCCATCACTGGCTTAGAGTTTTCTTTAGACATATAGCAATAACGCTTAGATTTATATACTACTTCATAATGCTTTACATCACTCTCTGAGCAGTTTACAATGATATAATTTTGTCCCCAACACTTTACCAACCTCAGAAGGATGGAAGGCTGAGTCAACGATGACTGAGTCAGGACTGAACTCCTGGTTGTGGACAGAGTTAGTCTGTAATACTGCATTCTAACCACTGCTCCACATGGCTCCAATCATTGTTTGGAAAAAAAAAAGGCAAAAGACTATATAAAATTGTAAGGAAGTATTACTATATGAATTATGCTCATGACGTTCTGATAAGCATATATGGAAATATACCAATTACTGTTTTAGCTCTTATTCTATACCATAGCTGTGTACAATTTTTTAAAAATCCACATAGGATTGTAATACTTAATTCCATCCTGAACTACAGTGAATGTAGGAGAATATTTTTATGATCTATTTTCTTCTTTCTTTAACATGAGCTAATAGCTACAAAGATGATAGACAATATTCTTTTAAAGAAACTTGTTTGTGGTTTTTTAAATTATCAATATTGACCAATTCATAAAGAAAGGTTTCATATTTTTTATGACAATTATATGTGCTGTTGCCTGAATCAATTCTTCCAGAATCTTATTTATAAAAAAGTTTATAAGAATGATCATTACAATAATCTAACATATTCAAATTGGTGTTCTTTTTTTTTTAAATTTTTTTAATTTTTATTCATAATACAATTAAAACAACAATGGACAAACATGACATTCCAGAGTGAATTTTTCTATCAGTTCCTATCATAGAACAAAAATTTTATACATTGTTCTTAACCTCTATATAAACCTCATCTTTTATACAATACAATTATATATACAATTATATGTACAGTTATGTATATCTTTTAATTCTACCATTAGTTTGAAGTCCGAGCAGTTCTTAATTCATACCAGCGGTAAAATTTGCCCCAGATTTCGAAGTATTCGTGTTCCGTTTTGTCTTTCATAATCATTGTAAGCCTGTCCATCTCAGCACATATTAGAATTTTATGCAGGATCTCTTCTTCTGTTGGGGTTTCCTTGTTCCTCCAATTTTGAGCAAAAACCAGCCTAGAGGCCGTTAAAATGTGTAGCATTAAATAAAATACGCCTTTGTCATGTTTTTGCGTAGTTAAACCTAATAGAAAGAGTTCTGGTTTTGGTTCTACCGCTTGCTCTAATATTTCTTCCAACCATGTTTTAATCCTGTTCCAAAAATCACAAGCTCGCGTGCATTCCCACCACATATGATAGTAAGTTCCACTTTTCAAATTACATTTCCAACATTTAGGGGAAACATTGGTATACATTTTAGACAATCTTGTGGGTGGGAGATGCCATCTATAAAACATTTTGTAAAGGTTCTCTTTGTAAGAGGTGGCCAAAGTAAGCTTCTTGTTTCTTGCCCATAGTTCTTGCCATATATGCAGATCAAAATTAAGACCAAAATCCTTACTCCAATTCAACATAGTCACTTTTACTTGTTCCTCGTACGTTGCCTGATCTAGCAAATAGTAGTATAATTTTTTAATCATTTTATCCTCCGACCCCAAAATTATTTTATCCAATTCTATTGGTTCTAATTTAATACCTAACTCTTTTTTGTCTTTTCGATATCTTGCCTGCAGTTGCAGGTATGCCCACCATTCTAATTCTATCCCTTCATCGTGGATGGTTTTCCTGGATTTCAATTCCCCTCTTTCATCTAAGATATTTTTATATGTTATGATCTTGTCTAATTGAGTAAATTTTGGGTGTACATATATTTCTAACGGTGAGATCCAACTAGGTACTTGGGTATAATTTGGTTGCCAAATTTTTGTCCATACATCAATAAGAGCTTGCCTAATATAGTGACTTCGAAAATATTTATGTACTTTATATTTATGATCCCATAATATGGCATGCCATCCTATTTGTAGGTCATGGCCCTCCAGACACAATAGTCTCCTATTTTTTAGTAATATCCAATCTCTTACCCATACTAATGCTGCGGCCTGGTAATATTTCTCCAAGTCTGGAAGACCAAATCCCCCCCTTTCCTTTGAGTCCTGTAGTAATTTTAATTTAATCCTTGCTCTTTTTCCTTGCCAGATGAATTTACACATCATTTTGTTCAAATTTTGAAAAAATTTCTTGTCTAATTTTATAGGTATACATTAGAACAAAAATAAGATTTTTGGCAACACATTCATTTTAATGACCGCAATTCTGCCCATAAAAGAGAGCTGTAGGTTAGTCCAAATATCAAAGTCTTTTTGAATCTGTTCTATTAACTTATCATAGTTATCCCTTTTAAGCGTAGCGCATTTGGCAGTCAGTTGTATCCCTAAATATCTAATTTTATTTGTAATTTGAACACCAATTCTGTCAACCAATTCATTTTTCTGTATTTTAGTCATATTTTTGACAAGCATTTTAGTTTTTTCTTTATTTATTTTTAAACCTGCTATTTCCCCGTATCTATTCAATGTTTCCATCAGTCTAATCCCTGATTGTAGTGGTTCTTCAATAATAAAAACTAAATCATCTGCAAAGGCTTGTATTTTAAATGTCTCTTTCTTGATTTCTAGACCTTGGATCTGTTCATCTTACTCTGGTTTCTCTTCAGATCGTATAAATCTTTCGCCTTTTACAAATTGGTGTTCTTAAATGCGGTCCTAATGCATTGTATTATTAACTATTGCCATGCAAATCTTCGGAGATAAATAAGATTTGTGTAATCCACCTGTGGGGATTTTGCATTTTGTGATATCAGTACAATATTTGCAAATAAATATAAACCATCACAAGAACTTATGGGCAACAATGTCTTGGAGGGAATTGCTTTAGTACAATAAGGAATCTAAGTAATTCATTCCTGATTGTTGGCTTAAGTGCTAATAAAGAGAAAATATATGTTCCTTGTTACAATGAAGGTTGATTATTACAATATGTAATGTGTATTTCCCCTCCATTGACTGCATTAAAGTATATAAACATAACAAAACCAATAGCATAAACAGGATACTTTAGGAATAAAGGAAGAAGCAAATTCCCCTTGATATAGTTAACCATCAAGAATTAAATATATTTAATACTGGATTTCCAATAATAGAGTATACCATTCCTAGCTTGTACAATATGGTTCACTTCTAAGGTATAAAAATGGGATACTTGTTGTCTTTTTCATTGTAACAATGTTTTGGAAATGATTTTGTTTCTTCCAAGTTTTTGCAATTCCAGAATTTACCCAGATTAAAAAGCAAAGTAAATACTTCATTGCATATTTGACATATTAATTATATATGTTAAATATCTAAATTTAAATGGATGGATGCATGCATGCATACAAAAACAGAAAAATCAGGAGATTGTAAACTGTGCCTTTTTATTATTGATTATTACTCTTACTTTATTTCTTTTTAACATTACAATTTCTAGAAAGTAGAAAATCTGTTTTGACCAATGTAAGAGATGACAAATATCTTTACTTTCCCTACACTGCAGTA